GCCCTGGCTATTTAACCCCAACGCTGTCGAAGCCGTAGTGCCACCATCTTGGAATCGGGCAGGTTGTCCTGGAGTTCGCCCCAGAGCCCTCTCCTTCCGGTCTCCCAGCCGGAAGTGGGCGCAAGGCCTGATGGGCGGGAGGGGGAGGAGGTATCATGGCGGCTCGCCCTCGCCGGCGCCTCCTCACACGTTTTTGGTTACAGGCGCCGCCAGCCGCCTGCCTTTCCGGGTAGGGCGCGTTGAGCGTGGATGGGGGGCTCGTTACCGGGGGTCTGGGGAAGGAGACGGGCGTGTGGGTGAGCCCCGGCCGTGGATAGGGGCTCTGGGTTCGACCCAGCCCAGACAGCGTGTGCTTGGGGCGGCTGAGGCCCGGGACGCTGGTGGCCGTTGAACGGCTGGGGAGGAGCCGCTGAATGAAAGGCTGAAGGGCCTGTTGGGCCGACGCGTGTTCATTGGCAGTAGCGTCGTTTTGAGGCGCACGTGGGGTCGTTCCCGTGGAACCTGCCGACCTTGTTGGGAAGCAGAACCCGCAGGGCCTGGGATTTCTGTCCTTACAAGGGGGGAGCAGTGGCGCCCAGCGCGAGGGTGATGGTTGTGCTTTGGTCTCCCTCAAATGAATTTGCAGCTACAGTCCAGCTCCTACCGGACCTCCTCCAAAACCCACTGTCACAGTTACAACAAAATCCTGAATTTGGGTGTGTTTGCAAAGAGCTTCGCTATGTTCTGTTCCTTAAATGATGCTTATCCCCATAATATTTCAACACCTATTTTATTAGCTATGTAATGAAATAGATTCAATCAGTGCTAATGCCATCCTTTTTCATCCCGGGGACAATCAAGTATGAAACTGCTGTTGGGCAAAGTCATCCTTTTAAATAATATCCACACACAGCAAGCAAGATTATTACAGCCCTGCATGGATACAAAATATGTATCTACATTCACAAAAGTGAGCCACAAATATCTCTAGATTTCATAGACTCATAGACTTTAAGGTCAGAAGGGACCATTATGATCATCTAGTCTGACCCCCTGCACAGCGCAGGCCACAGAATCTCGCCCACCCCTCTTAGAATAATCCTCTCACCTATGTCTCAGATATTGAAGCCTTCAAATACTTTGAAGGCCCCAACATGCAGAGAGTCCTTCAGCTGTGATCTGTGCCCAATGCTACAGAGGAAGGCGAAAAACCTCCAGGGCCTCTGCCAATCTACCCTGGAGGAAAATTCCTTCCTGACCCCAAATATGGCGATCAGCTAAACCCTGAGCATGTGGGTAAGACTCACCAGCCAGACACCCAGAAAGTTCCCTATAATGAATGGTCAATTAGTTACCAACATTTTATCCACATCTGCAAAAATGAACTGCAGATATTTGCATGAACATCTGCAGATACCTGTGTGTATAAAATGGATATCTGTGTGTTCTTTCACATAATTTATATTTCTTTAAGGATTAAGCCCTGACTAAACCCAGATTGGTACTTCATAAGACTTCTCATTGATTAATATCTGAGTAACATTAATCTGTTTCTCAAAACAATGTATTGAAATTTCAGATTTAGATTTTAATACAGCTGGTTGTCATGAAATTGAAGTTGTTACAGAAAACTGTGGAATATGTCTCAGCTGTACCTTCCCAGAAGGGGTCACATTAATTTTTTGACCTACTCTTATTTCTGTCCCACACAAAATAGGTGTTCTCTTTGTTGTAAATTGACATCAGAAACAATGAATCTTGAAAATGGAGATATTAAAAAAAAAAAACAAGCTAAAGAAATTAATCCATCAGTATATAGGACTTGCAGATTTGATGATGGTGTCTGTCACTTTTAGGCATTACAGGCCTTTACAGCACTTTTGGGTATGTAAATTAAAAGCTTGTATTTCAAGATAATGATGTTTTAACAAACATTTGTCCACGCTAGTAGCCAGAGATGATATTTTGTTGCCTATAAAATCAGAAAGGTCTAGTTTCTTTGCCACAGTCACTGTTGAGATTGCTTTTAGTGACCAAATTCCATTAGAGCTAGCACTTCCATCAATTGTTGGCAGGCATATTACTAATAGGGGTGTGATAGTGTACACCAGTGGTCCCCAACCTTTAGAGGCGCCCGGGGGCGGGGCCACTCACGCGCCGGGCGCCCGGGGGCGGAGCCGCGCGTCCTGGGGCAC